TGTGACACTTTCTAAAATCGGTTGCATCTTATTCAAATTCGTCTGGAATGGGTGCAGTTTTCTCCATTCTTTGAATCAAAGAAAGGACGGCTCTAGTCTACAAGCATCTTCACCATAATAATTAATCAACTTATCTAAATGGCAACGTCCCACCATTGATAAGAATTTTGTTAACGATCAAGACATTTAATAAATCAACTTTAGATACTTAGTAGACTATCGTATCGATTTTTAGTTCGATAGTCTACCAGTTAATTAAATGTTTTGATTATTTATCGTGAGAGAGAGAAGATAGCTTACATTCGAAATCTTTAAGAGTAAAAGTGATTTGTTAAACGAAAATGTTTTAAATTATAATTAATCTGAACAATGATTTAGTACTTTTAAGGCTCATATATTAATATATACTTACATATAACATAGACTTACAGGACACTCCACAGCTTGTATGGAGCTCGAGGATAGAGAGGGTCCCTTCTGCCTCTTAGGGGTCCCTTTTGGCTTTTTTTAACAAATGATATCGTAGAATGTTTCTTTATTTTCTCCTATTAAAAATAACATTAATTTTGTAAAGTAGGAACCACGTTTTCTCCGGGATGGTGGAAAACTCCTCAGCTTCATCCATCGCAGCATTTTAAAAAAAAATTTTAGCTTAAATAATATTTTTAAACAATTGTATATCATTTGAGTGCTATTAAAAAATATGCTGAGGGATGAAAACAAATAAAGAATGCCAGGAAAGTTAATTTATTTTGTTTTACAAAATAACAACAGCATTAATGGCCAGCTTTTTTATAACTTGAAAACTTATCCCAATTTTATTCAACCTTAAAAAAAAAAACAAAACAGTTGACAATCTCACCTTAATCGAAGTATAAATTCAACAATATAAATCACATTCCCCAATTTAATATTCCCCGTACAAACTACTTATTGTCTGCATCAGAGGCTACTTAACAGTTTTAATATGCAAAACAATCTTGCCTGCTTGATTGATAATGATAACTCGTTATCGTAGATTGTTATCTTCGATAAAGCAAACACGCTATTCGCTACAGTTTGCAAAACAGGTATCAAATACAGACAATTAATTACGTTTAGAACCAAAATCTCTGTTATGACTCACTTTTTAACATAATGCTAGAAAATCAAGTTATTTCGGGTCTCGCACTTAAGGAGGCCTCAAAACATTCGCTTAATTTATTTTTAAAAATATATTACAATTATATAAACTGTTTTACACTATACTGAAGGCCTCAAAAAGGTAAGTGACTAAGGCATGTGAGGGTCTCTGTCATAAATATTAAAAAAAAAATTATACCTTTTTATTTCTGTTTTCATATATAATATTTATATTATAAAATGATAATGGAATCTTATCTAAAATGTAATTATAGATATCTCGAAACGTGCAATATATTTATCTCTACTCTCCTGAAATATTTATGTTTTGCGAAATATTCGAAGTAAAATATTAGAATAATAACTGATATAAAATATACAATTAGGTATTTATTTCATATCTGATAACCTAACGGATTAAATATATATATTAGGAAGTACAGTACTTAACTGATACCGTAGTCAATGTATTAGGCAAATATTTACTAATATTTTTGATCGTGTACAATAGTAGCCGAGTGATGAAACCACTCAAGAATAGAGTAATTAATCGCGGGTTCGCCAACGGTGAAGTTTTCCGTGTTTTTTCGCGTGTCTAACAACTAAATAGGAGCCAGTTTTCTATAGAAGTTCTTCAGGAGGCATCTCCCGTGTGTTGTATGGTCTTGTCCACTTAAATCCAATACCTTTGATTCATTATGGTGTAATATATAGTTTGTTTTCGTAGTAAGGAAACGTAATCAAGATGTATTTGTCTAGTAAAAATACTATATCCTTTTTTTTACAAGGTAATACTTAGGCGATTTGCCGAGGAGGTTACCTCCCTGGAAGACTTTCTATGGAAAACTGGCCTACTTAGGTGTTACAAACATGAAGAAACCTCAAAAAACTCCACGTGCCAGGCTGTTATTGAGGCGAGAACCCACAACCAGCTACCATTGTTCGGTGGTTTAATCTATTCGGTTTAATCTTTCAAACACGCTCTGAAATTTTAGTATAAAATTGTGAATTTTTCTTAAAGAAATGACAATTTCTTATTTTCAATTTCTAAGAGTCAATTTCTTTGATTCCATATCTTAAAACTAATCGAATCGTGTAGATCTGATTCACTATAATTTAAATTTATATGATTATAATTTATATACACACAGGAATAGACTANAAAATTCCGTCTGATGTATATAAATACCTGCGGATAGCCGCTAAACTCGATAAAATTTATTGTTACTTTTTATGTTTTAATAATTATTTGTACATTTTTAAGGAAATTTTCAATAAAAAAAACTACAAATATATGAGTTACATAAAGCTATTCTTCTAAAATTAAAAAAATACTTGCCGAACGACATATATAATAAGATGTTAGCCTACTGCAATAGGGGCTTCGGGTTCGAATCCAGTTCAGACCTTTAGCGTATATCATAGGAAGTATGGATCGGGCATTGTTCCGCTTCCGCGCCCTTCATGGTCAATTCTATTGTGGATTAGATCCATCAAAATGGGCATAATTTTGGCCGATTATAAGCATGCAATTTGCCAGTACATCGTGTTAAATAAGAAGATAATTATTTCACTGTGGTAAACCGCAAAAAAAAATAAATAAATCAAAAAATACACTAAGGGGTGTTATGTATATTTAATGCATTATATTTCCAAACAGAAAATGTAGAAAAATTCGAAATAACTTAAATATAACGAAGATAAGAAAAGAAATTTTAATTTGGACTCGATTATTTTAGAACTAAACCTTCCATAACAGCAGTAATCGCGGGTTCGGTTCTCGGCTACTTCATGCGTAAGGATTTTCGTTTTCGTTTAATTTATATGATAATTTGTTATTTATAGAACTGAATTTATTATTCAGCTTTATATTCACTGGCAATTGCGACATTAGTCATTAACAACGAAAAATATTTTAAAATGTTTTTGTACGATTCATGTTTGTATTTTATTTTTTTTAAAAAAAATATCGGCTTGCAGTTATTGTTGAAATAATAAAATACCAGGATAAAGTACTTTCGCAAGAAAATTGCAGCTTATAAAAAGTATCGAATTGTGGATAATACATTATTGAAAATAAAAATAAAAATCTTTACTTTCTTTGGTTTAATGTGCTTTATATCTTATCGTTAAGTGAAAGATTTAAACTAGATTTTCTTTCCGTTTAAATGGGGTGGGGTTTTGAAATTCTAAATCCTTAACTTTAACCTTCAAAATGGAGATGTAATCCCACCTGCTGATAAGATTCATAAATTCAATGTCGTTTTTTCTTTCTTCAATTCTCTACTTCTTACTTTCGGATTTTTAATAAATTTATATTTGTAGATTAAATCTTTCAATTTATGCTGATAGTTTAACATGGATCACTTCTATCAATTAACTGCCTGTGTGAAACTGTGTAGAAATCAGAATATATTGCAATATTCTTTGTTCTTAGTCGTTAAATATATCATATTCACAATACTCCGGCCATTTAATATAATATTTATGATAAACATATAAAATTATAATATAATCGATACACACATTTGCATATGTAGTCCATTAAATTATTTAAATATCGTTTAATCTTTCAATGAACAAAATATTGTGAGTGAGCTGCTGGGTATTTACGCTGTCATTTTAACTTATATATATATATATATATATAGGCTATAATAGCAATAATTGATAGAAAGCCAAGATGGAGGAGGATAGTAAAGCCTGTGAGCAATGGCCACTGACAGGAACATAAAAATACCCGTTGTTTGGAAGTTGTTTTGTATGAATTTTAAGAAGAAACCTTTCTGAAAAGATGATCGCCGTTTAGAGGTGTTGATGAGTCTATGTATTTTTAATTTTATTATTTTAGAGAAGAGTAGGAACCTACATTGTGACTAGTGCGAGTTCCATCTTACACCTCTAAACTCTCGAATAAAATACGCCTACTAATTAAACGATTTTCTTTAAAAAAAAAGTACTATAAAACTGTTAAGAATAAATTCTTCTTGTCCACAGAATGCTAATTTTCAAAATATGTTATAAATAAGTCTTATAAATGTTATAAAATTATAATTTAATTTTATAACATTTATAAGACTTATAATTTTCACTTGATAACTTCAAACGTCGCTATTTTGAAACAAAATGGCGTCGTTTGAATCTTTAAATTAGATTTCATAGAATTTTTCATATTAATAAAAATATACGTTATTTAAATTCGGGAATTTCTTAATGTAAAACAAATCATTTATCTGAAATTTATATAAAATAAGTCTCAAATAATATAAAGAAAAGCCAAAAATGGCGGCCGTTATGAATTCTTGACACAAATCTCAAATAATTGCTATATATTATTCATTTAAAAAAGTTGGCAACATTGTTGCTGGACTTCCTGACACATTGTTTTCATCCCTAATAATTGTTACCATTTATAAGTCTTCAGATTGATTCGAGAGATATTAATGATGTGGGACCATATTTCCCGAAACATTTTTCCGATTTTCCTGAAAATTTCTAGGAACATTTTCCTCTAATGCACGAACCTTCCTGCAAAATTTCGAAAATTTTCGACAAAAGGCACGGGAGTTATTAAGCATCAAAAGGAATGAAAATATCGTGTCCCCTCACACACACTAACATCCAAATATATAGAAAACCTCCCGATTTATTTTGCATTTCTCGAAGGTCCCCTGAGTCCAAAATGTAAAAAAAAAAATTTTTTTTGGCCGATCACCATACTTTTCTTCTGTTATATAACAGTTGGGAAAGTAAAATAATAAGTAATTAAGTAATACGCAAGTAAGTCTTGTAAGAACCAAGTAATAAAGACATCAAATATTTTAAACTTATAGGAATACCTAATTCATATATATTTTTTCTTCTTCTTCTTCTTTCAGAAAATTAGCTATGAATCGCAAAAACGTTCCTCCTTTAGCGAGCGCAGAGACTCTAACTCCATCTTTGCTGTCTACTTCGACAGGATTCGATAGCGTGATCTAGAACTAAGGAAGAAACCGAGAGTATCATCTACTAATGCATGGTTTCCGTGACCCTCGTAAAAAAAAAAAAAAGTGCAGGAGATGATGTTGCCATAGAAACTATTGAGATATATCGAAGCCAAATTGATCAAAATAAAACCAGAAGCGACCATTTATCCCCAATCGACAAGTCAATCGTTAACGGAATAAGTTTCTACGTGGTTCATTTACTGGTGGCCAAAACATCGTGAACTATTTCAATTAAATTAATTTAAAATGATTTAAATATATGAAAATATTCGTAAAAACAAAAAAGAAAATTTTGATGATTTTTGAATATTTAAAATACAGACAGACCTCTTAACAAAGGCCACCACATAAACATAAAAACGGCCGTTGTTTGGAGGTTATCGTGATATTTCTGTTCCAAAAATAAAAAAAGTTCCTGAAAAAAAAAAGCCGCTGTTTAGAGGTGGCCGTTGTTTGGAGGTGTCCGTTATTACAGGTTCGACTGTGTGTATAAATAAAGGAAATTGGAAAAAGTTAAGACAAAGAAGAATATTTTAATACCATTTTTATATTGTCATTTGTGAATTTTTTTTAAATATAATTTATCCTCCATTAGCTAGTTTATTATTCAAATTCTTTTGCTTTTCTCTCAATTAAATTAGTAAATATTTTATTTTTTTAAATTGTTCCATTTATTATAAGATAAAATGTTATAAAGTAACTTTAAATTAGATTAAATTCTGTACATTGAAACACAATAATTCATTTAAATTAAATTAAATTATAGATTTCTGTCTTATTTTATTTTTATAAAAGAAGAAGAATATAATTATTCACATTTTAATGTAAATTTTCTATCTAATTTGTACTTTTTTCCTTTTTTTTCCTAAGATTATTGTGACTTAAACCAGTTTTTTAACTGATTTTAATGATAATAATTTAGTAAATTTTCCTATAAAGGTGCTTAAATTATACATATATACCACTAAAAAAAAAAGGATTTTATTAGTTAATTCCGACTTCAATTCACTCAAATTAATTAACTCCAAAGTTTGTCTTCTAAAAAAAAACTTTTTTATAGAAGGAATAAAATAAAAATTTCAAAAAACAGATGTGCTTCGTGGCCAAAAACCTTCTAAAAAATCAATAAATAAAAGTCATCCTTTTTTTAATATAGAATTTATTTTAAATTTTCGAAACTTATTGTTGCCCTTTAAAATATATAGGCCTATATATTTTTTAATACTTAAGCATTTAAAATATCAAATTTTTAATATTCCTACATAAAATTTCTTTTTTTTTAATGCCAAGCCATTCATTACCATTCACATTACTAAATTAATCACTTAAAAAGATTGGGTTTCCAATAGATCCTTCCTTTAAAGTTAATTTATTTTCTATAAAATAATAAATAAATATAATTTTTAACAACTTAAAAATATCATTTTTTTATATATATATATATTTTTTNTACTTAGGCGATTTGCCGAGGAGGTTGCCTCCCTGGAAGACTTTCTATGGAAAACTGGCCTACTTAGGTGTTACAAACATGAAGAAACCTCAAAAAACTCCACGTGCCAGGCTGTTATTGAGGCGAGAACCCACAACCAGCTACCATTGTTCGGTGGTTTAATCTATTCGGTTTAATCTTTCAAACACGCTCTGAAATTTTAGTATAAAATTGTGAATTTTTCTTAAAGAAATGACAATTTCTTATTTTCAATTTCTAAGAGTCAATTTCTTTGATTCCATATCTTAAAACTAATCGAATCGTGTAGATCTGATTCACTATAATTTAAATTTATATGATTATAATTTATATACACACAGGAATAGAATATCAAATAAGCATATCTCATTAGATAATCTATCTTCTAGTTTGAAACAAATATTAAAATGCTAATATAAAATTTTAATATGAAACATGTTGCGCATTTATATGGGGAGTCCGAATTTGATTCCCGTTAGAGCAATTCTGCCTTTTTTTTTTTTTTATAATCCCGTCAATAGCCTTTGAATGATGAGTTTTGAAGCACGTAACATGAATTTAAAAATGGGGCTGAAAAAAGGCCTTTCTTTAGTGTTCACAGAGCGTAAAGAGTAAAAGACATACCAGAAGAGATTTTGTAAAAATACCCAGACTTAACTTGTTAACGACTTTTTTGGGAGTGATAATTTTTACTAACCCACCTTTGTTATAGCCTATATATAACAGAAGGAAAGTATGGCAATCGGTCAAAACATAACCCCCCAGATTGTTACATTTTTGGACTCATGGGATCTTAAAACGTCGAGAAATGCAAAAAATTCGGGGGGGGGATATTTTCTGTATGTTTGGATGTTAGTGTATGTGGGGGAGGCGCACGACTTTGTTCACCCTCTTTCAATCTTTATAACTCTTGTGTTTTTTGTCGAAAATTTCTGAAACTTTGCAGGGAGGTTTGTATATTAGGGGGAATAGTACTATTTAATTTTGGTGATTAAAGGTCGACGGGGTGGAGAGATAAAGGGGTGTCATAATTCGAGTATGATCAGACTTCGTGACGATTTTAGTCGTTATTAGCATTTACAATATCTTTATAACAATAGTCTCTACACTCAAAATTAAGCCTTTTTGCCAGTTTATAATAATTTAAAATATTTAAAAATTTTAAATAAAATATCATAACAGATGGCACCACACATGCGGGTTTAGCTATTGCCGGAAAAGTTAAGCAACTCGTTGATGAATTAAATACGATTTTTAGAAGAAAAAAAAATTTGATTAAATTTTCATTAAATCGAATATTAAAATCATATTAAAATTAACCCACCAGTAGCTGACTGGATAACACTACTAGTGATTTGTTGTGGGTTCGTGCCTGGCCATCGGGATGACCACGTGGAGTTTCCGAGTTTTCTTCACGTTTGTAACACCTAAATAGGAGCCAGTTTCCCATAGAACACCATTCGGGAGGCATCACTCTCGGCAGATCGCCCATATGTCGCTTTGCCGTATGCAAACAAAAAAACCCTATTGGACTGATTGGCATAGATAAAACATAATGAGTAATTCTCAGATCCCGCTTAAAATCATTGTAATTTAGATTGATTTTGGTTCGAATTCATTGATTTTGAATATAAAATACAATAAAAATACCATTCCTGTATCCTCTGATCCGGAATGGATTCAATTTCGGTTTCCCAAACATATGAAAGGTGTCAATTTTCAAGATTGATTTTTTTTTTGTAGCGCAAAAACTACACGAAAAATATAGTGATTCGAGAACAGGTAATTTCATGTTGACTTATTAATAATTCCTACTTTCAAAATCTTTCTTGGTCTCAGAAAGTAGGACAAAGATCTTAGAAAGTAAAATCAAAAGGAATTAATCGAATAAATGTAAGAAAACACAAAGCAATATAAAGAATTAAACTTATAAATAAGTGTAATAAATCTTTTAATTATATTATTAGAACATAAATGTCGGTTAAATTATCTGCCGCACGCAATCGACAACTAATTAGAGGCACTTGTACTACTTGGACCATTGCTGCAACTTGTACTATTATTAGATAAATAAATGGTTTTACAAGTCTTGAACTGTGGAAGGAGAGTTCGATTTCCTCAGCAAAGAAATAAATAAAAACATTATTATTTCGTTCAATAAGATCATTCATTTTACATATAGTAGTTTGTCAAGCCCTACCAGAGGAGGATGCAACCAGGGACATAAGCTTTAAAGGGACCATCAGAGGAAAAAAATTAAAAAAATTGCCCATTAAATTATTTTTCTACTTCAAAATCATCATATTATTTGTACAAACAAGGTCTCCTAAAGGTCCCCAAAATAATCTTTGCACAGAGAGCTCTCCATTTTCTCGGGGACCCTGTAGCCTAGTTTGTTTTTTATTGAAAAATTATTGAATATTTTAATTTTTATAACAGTAATTACAAAAATTATTTTCTCGAATACGATAAAATTTGTATATTTAAGCTATATTTATAATAGAGAAATCGTAAACCCGTAATGAATTCGAAGCATTTAAGAAAGGATTCTGGAGCATAAAGGATACTTAAAACATTTTTTAAGTAAATATTTAAAAATTCTTGGCTAAACTTTCGAAATTTTTTCGAATCGTTATACTGAAAATATTCTAAATAAAACTTTCAGAAACAGAATATTTTCGGAATTAATGATTCTTATAAAATTGAATGGGGGAGAAATTTCTATTTCTTAGTGTAATTTTTCGCTCGATCCCTACGGAATGTATCGATATTTCGAGTTGTTTAAACTCTATTTATTTTTTATTTATAAGTTATGCTAGTATCTCCATATGAACACTAGAAGAAGATTATTGATAGATGGCACCACGTGCCGGTGACATAATCCCATAAGAAAATATTTAACGGATTTTTCATGAATATCAACCACGCTTTTGACCTTTCGTACGGCATAAGAATCGCTTCTTTAATTTACATAAGTTGATGCATCCGTATAATAACGAATTTATATTCTCAGCCAATATAAACACACAAGAATGGGATAAATTAGAATTTTAATTCGAAATTTTCTCTTTTCTTCTTCTATTGATGTAGCAGTCGGAGCAATTTTATTTCGAATAGAAAATAAATAAATTTCGAAAGCAATTGCCAAGCAGAGAATATTTTGTAGACCGAGTTTTGCTAAATAATAGAAAGTTTTCAGAGAAAAAAAAAACATTTAAAAAACGATTTCTTGTGTTTTGTTTTGTTTGTACGCGGCAGTGTTTACTTGTCTGTTTGTATGAGGCAGTGTACAAACAAACAAGTAGAGGCAATTATCATGCCACTTTTAAATGCAAATCAAGACTTAATTCTAATTGTTTTTCTTATGTAAATGAAAATTATTAATTCAAACGACTATTGCAATAACCTTCTGCTATTTTAAGGAACAATAACGATACTGTTTTATTCAATTCGCAAATAATATAGATAAAAAGAATTAGGTTAAGCGACAAGTAATATGGCGATAGAATGTTTATAAACACAACTTTAAATTACGCGATTTTTACGCGGAAATTTAGTTATAGATTCATCAAGTGTGCCGTGAGATTTTAAAAAAAATGTTGAAAAACACTGGTATACGGCAACGCAACACGGGGACGATCTGCCGAGGGGAATGCCTTCAGACAGGACTTTTTGTGGG